TGTAGATAATGGCTTGCAGTTTAAACGGACTAACAGTCGAAGATTCAATTCCGATCAACATGTTAAGAGTCTCCAGCTCTTGATCACATGTTTCACTTTCAATCTTGATCAACTATGCACACATAATCAACTTTATCTTTTTGATTATATGTGTTTATCAGATTCAAAAGTTTTGGGAACAAGAAAACCTGATTTTGAAATTACTCGTATTAGAGAGTCTTGAGTCTTAGATTGTTTTGTTTCTAAATCTGGAGTTTGTGAAGTTCATTAGTGAATCTGGAGTTTGTGAAGTTTTGATCTTGTTGAGATTCGTTTTATGTGTTTGTGTAACATAGGGATGACTTGCCATCAAAATACTCTCCAATGTCAGAAGACTCGGACGAAACAAACTCACCACACCCGACGTTGTCGTCGTCACACCATTCACATACATTTCCCTACCTCCATGATCACCAATGCGACAAATTTGAAAACAGAGTATCCGGAGTTGTTGTCTATAAAGGAATCTCTTGTCAAGTTTGTTTTCGAACCCAACAAGAAGGCATAGATCAAATGTTGAAGATGGAGGAGGGTCTTGAACAAAGAAAGCTTATTGTTTTGCATTTATTTGTGTGTTCTTGTTGTTGGTTTATGTTTTTGGCTTTGTATCAATCTGTCAATTTTCTCTGTTTTGTAATTTTGTTTTACTTTAATTTTTGCAAAATTTGTGTATTGTTAACAGATAATCTTCTGATTTCAAATAAATTTCAGCATCTTCGGTTGTTCATAATTTTTCTAATGATTTCTTACAAAATAATGCCAAACTGATTAATTTGGAACACATAAATTCTTCTTTTCCAACTCAGGTATTCGATTTTTGTATGATTACAATGTTATTTAATTATTCTTGAGAACCCCTAATGGAGGACACAAAATTTTAAAAACAATTAGTGAGTTCTAAACTAATTTTATTGTTAGTTTAGTATTATAAAATTGATGAGAACCCCACTAAAAGCTCTAACCAATGTACATGCTT